GCCATGGGCCTCATAACTTTCACAGAACGGCCATAGGCCTCATAATTTTCACATATGTATGGACTCAAGAGGTGGCTCATACGGATTCTAGAGGCGACTCGCACTGCAGCACTTAGTTCCGTACAACACTTTGTTTCATACTAACAGATCATACAGAATGGCCATAGGCCCAGATGTCACAGATTGGCCATAGGCCTCATAGATATTACAAAACGGCTATAAGCCTCATAACTTTCACAGAACGGTCATCGGCCTCATAACTTTCACAGAACGGCCATAGGCCTCATAATTTTCACATATGTATGGACTCAAGAGGTGGCTCATACGGATTCTAGAGGTGGCTCGCAGTGCAGCACTTAGTTCCGTACAGCACTTTGTTCCATACCAGGAATCAATAGGTCTTAAAGACCGAACAATGCATATCATGTCATAACAGAAATGGAACGATTAAACAGAACAGAATAACTCCATGGGTTATTGTAGGTTGATCTAACTGGCTTACGTATATCAGAACATTAACAATACTTACTGACGGAAAATACATATATCATTAGCCTCAGAGTGATACGGAGGCATACAGATTCCTTTAATCATTCACATGAGTTGAGTTAACATAGCTAGTTTGCATTTAACAGAGTGTTAATGATGACCATTAACAAATAGATACCGTAGTTTCATAATATACACACATTCCATTATTCGTTATGAATCTGCCGATGCAGAGTATCAATAATAATTATTAACGGGAGACGCATGTATCATGACAATAGGATCAATAGAGTCAGAATAGTTCATATCATAACGTGGGTCATATAACGATGGTAGAATTTTATGTTTGTATCATAGATTCTGAACGATCTCAGGTTCATGTATAACACAACCGAATAATTTTAGATTCGCACAGATACCATCATTTTCGGATGAACATAAGCTCCATTTATTTATTAAGAAACGACGTAGTTTGCTTATAGATAACAGAAAGTTAATATTCACTATTGACAGAACAAAATGGTTCCAAAGTCATACCATGTATGCAAATCTTTCCACATTTACATAAGTTCACTCTCTTTTCCAATCGACATAATGTTAGTGTAGTCACTTACAAGGAACAGAGCATTGGTATCCATAGTCATTAACGATAAGTAAATACACATTTACCATACTAATACCCACAGTGGTAGGTCTCTGATAGCGGTGGAACGATGTCCTCGTCTTGACCTACAAACATAATGCACATAGCAGATTATGAGGATAAAACCAATCTCTTTCTTGTTCCTTAATCAATAGCCATGGTGGTTCTAAATTCATTAGTCCTCCATAGGTTATAATCCATGCCTCAGAAGATAGGAGGAATCGATAGGAAAATAGTTTAAGTGAAGAAATGGTACAAAATCGGTAGATAGAAAGTGAGCAACTCTCACTAATTTGGGCATAACTATTTTTTTACTTCTAATTTTGGAGTGAGACTACCACCAATGGAAAATAGACTTCCGGGGCTTGATTTTAGGCTCAAGAATCACTCAAAAAGGAGTCCTGAGGCAAAAGATATGCTTATTCAAAGATGGATGGACAAAGCTGTCTCCCGCACGTGCGGGAAACAGGGCCGCACGTGCGGCTCTGGGCAGTGTGCAGTCCGAAAATGGCTCTTTTTGCTCCAACACTTGGTTTTTCCATTTTTAAGCTTGGTTCTTAACATAAATCACTCAAAAACATGTAGAATTGCCCTATAACATGATAAACTAACATCAACCAAGTGTAATTTCATTTCAAACAATTCAATCTTTGTCTCAAAGTTCAAGATTAATGCTTAATCTTTCATGATCTTCAAGGTTCTTAAAAACACAACCCACAACCCACAAATTCACATGATTCTTGCATAATCTAAAGTTTATTTCATGATATCCATGAGCTTGAGCTCCACTCATAAACAAAATTAGAGAACTCAATTGCTAATTCCTCAAATTAGCTCAAGTAAATACATAGATAAACCTTAACCCCAAATGGGTTTAAATCTTCCAAGATCTTTATGATTTTACCAAATTGATACTTTAAACACAAGATTTCAAGATAGATTATCATACCTAACTCAATCTTTGTCTATCTTTTAGCTCTCTTCAATTCCTCCAAGTTCCATGGGTGATCTTCTTTCTTTTCCTTCAATTCTCTTCAATCATCTTCAAAGCCTCTATGGATGTTGGGAAAGTTGTCTCTCTTCCCTCTCTCCCTTTCACGGTTTCCTCTCTCTCTCTGTAGATATTTTGTTTTTTTTGACTCCAAAAAGATGAGCTCACCCCTTATATAACTTATACACACCTATATATTTAATTATATAAGCTTTATCACAAATAAGGAGGGCCAAACACGCCCTTACGAATCGCACAAAATTAAATTTCAATTAAACTTCTCAGATGGCTCTAAAAATTATGCTGATCATAAATACGTCCTCTTTTCTGGTTTCTGAAGCCTCTAAGGCCTTCAATTTGCATTACCAAGTTAACCACCCAAACGTACATTAACGAATCAGACAAATTAGATTTCCAATTAATTTTCCCAAATAGTTTTAAAAATTCTCATTAACATATACAAGTACTCAATTTTGATTCCTGAACCCATAAATGTTGGTAATTTAAATTGTAAAGTCGTAACTCAACAGATCATTTTTCAATTCAAACAGATATCATCAAATTGAAGAACATTAATCCACAAATGCATAAAGGTAATTTCTGATACGAATTTTGGGGTCGTTACATTAAGGATGTAAGGCTGTGTTTAGTTAAAAAATTTGATGAGGGAAATAGAAAGAATTGATAGGATTCGAATTTCAAGTTATGCTTAGTTGAATTGGGAAATAGAGCAATAAAAGAACCTAACAATGTATTTGGTTCAACTATTTTGGGAGAAAAGATAGGTGAAATATGAATTTCACACACATTTTTCTTTCTATTTGTAAATCCCCTTCCAAATTCATAAACCAAACACAGTTTAAGTAAACTCAAAAGATAAGAAATGAGATTGCATCTCCATCTCACTCTTCATCTTTTTTTTCTGTGTTTTTCATTATAGCCAAATAAAAAATGAGATTCTCTATTTTTTTTTTTTTTTTTTTTGGATATAAAAAAATTTAGATGAGAGGAGGCTACCTCAATCTAAGGCCAGGGCAAGCTACAAATCTTAGTGAGGATTTATATTAAATTTATAAACAGTAATGATTCAGAGCATTAATTTTGATACTATAATAGAGCACTAATGACATGGCAAGAAAGAAAAAAAAAACAAAAAATAACAAAACAAATCAAGACCAAAAATCACATCAGTAGAGTTGGCTTTAGAGCTCAAGAATTAAAGTTCTAAAATATTTTTCATTTATAAATCATTCCTAAAAAGAATTGTTGGTAACGAGAATCGAACGCAAAATATTCTTCATTATAACTAAATAAACAGTAAAATTATATTTTCTTTTCTCTTTTCGCTTCTATCATCAAACAATAATGATTTAAACTATTAAAAAATACATCATTAATAGTACTAAATAACAATTATATTTTCTTTTCTCTTTTCGCTTCTTCATTTTTGAAATCTCCCACTAAATAAAGCGTGGAGAATTTTCTCACGTGTCGGTCATTCTCGTGATTGTCCCCCTCCCTTTGAACGTCGTGCCCGTTGAATTTTTTATTCTTTTTTTGGATTACGCTACGCTTTCAACCCCAAAACTATACTATAAAAATATATCAGAATTACTACTCTCTCTCTCTCTCTCTTCATTGCCCAATTTTTAGGTTCTTATCAGTTTTCAGAGTTTCTGACCGTGGTGGTGGTGACGATGATGGTTGCAAGATCAAAAACGAACGGTTCTGATTCCCAGATTCCCGCTCCCACAGGCGTTCCCAGTGCCCGAGATGCAGCAGATCAAGTCGTCGGTCACAGCGTACCAGAACAAGGTCCGAACCAAAATAGCGACGCCGATGGCAACAACCAGGTACAATTATTTTAGATCACTGTTCACTTCTCCCTCTCTCTCTCTTACAAAACCAACTGTTGTATTGGACTCAACTGAGATGTGATTGGGTGCAACTTGTAAGCAATCCTATAACAAAATAATAATTATAAGTATATAATCGCGGTCTATTTTTATTAGGAAAATATTATAAACTGTAAATAATTTATCAATTTTTTTTTATTAAATCTCTCATATAACTGTAAAATTCATAAAAATTCATATATGTGTGAGTCTCACACTTACGTAAAAGGTTTTGTTTCATACCATATGAAAAGTTTAGTAAAAAATTTAATAGATTATTTGAAATTTGTAAGCTCAGTCTTTTTATTATCTTATCTTACTATGAGTATGTTTCAGAACTAGATTTTAGTCCAAAACAGTTACTTTAAAAAATTATATAGAAATGTCTTATTCTTATTTTCTCTACTCTTTGCACGTTTTTTTTTTTTTTTTTTTTTAAGTCAAAAAATCATTCCGAAACATCTTAATTTTTCCTAATTAAAAAGTCAATAAAGAAATCACTTTCCAAATAAACCTAACATGCGGTGTTATTAACTCTATGGCTTTGTGGGTTGAGCTTTTGACTTTTAGGTTTTTTTTTTAATTATTTTAATTTGAGATTAAAAAGTTTGATTTGAACAGATTTTTTTGACATTTTTAATCTTTTTATAAGAGAAAGAATATAATGACTATGAATTAAATGTGATGTTTTGTCTTCTCAGACAAAAAAATCTATTTTGTTTTTTGTTACTATTTTAACCAAAAAAATCCTCAAATCTAACTTCCCAAGCATAGAAAATAATGCCAACACTCTCAAATATACCCATAATGATGTGGCAAGTAATAAAATTCTACATGGTTAAATATGGGACAAATTAAAAATTAACACTCATCATTCTACATTATTGTGTGTAAAATTATAAAAATTTTATTAGAGGTCTCAAACATTTTAGAACAATAGTATTTTAACAAGTAAATTAATAAGTATATAAATGCGATTAATGTAACATTATGTAAACATTAATATTAGCATAATTACATTTTTTATATATTATTTGTCATTTCATATAATACATTCATAATTATTGGGAAAATCTTTAGTCTTTGCATTTAGTTACACAATTTTATAGTGCATGTCACATATTTTTTGTAAAAATTTTTTCTTAAATTTTTAATATAGTTACTAGAATTTGTGATTAAAAATAAAGTTATATATATTTATGATAATGTTACATATTAATTAGTTTATTTATTACCTTTCTCAAATTTTGATGTGTACTTAATTAAAAAAAAAATAATGCTATATGCACCAATTAATATACTAACTAGTATACTAATTGATGATGTGACATAATTTAAGAGTTTTTGGAATTTGTAATGTGATTAATGAGTGGGGTCAATAATAATGTTATGAGTAATGATACATCCCACTAAAAGTAGTGCTCTAAAGCATCACTAATGAGTTGGCAAACACTTTAAATAAATAAATAAATAAAAAACAAGACACAAGCAGTGGGTCCCATCCATTGCCACATCACTAGTGGTACTTTTACAGCACCACTTTTAGTAGCAAGGATCCTCTAGAGTGATTTTTCTCTAAAGTTTCCTAGAGTGCTACATTGTGTGGTTGAGATTTACTGTCAAGTCACATCAATTTTTCTGATGTGACTTGCCAGTAAATCTCAACCACACAATGTACTACTCTAGGAAACTTTAGGGAAATTTCACTCTAGAGGATCCTTGGTGCACTTTTAGTGGTCTCAAGCATTATTGTAATGTTATAACTAGTGTTGATATATTAATTAGTACACTAATTAATACATGCAGCACCTCTGATTAAACATTTATCTTTGTGTCATCTTATGATATAAATAATCATATTTTCCTTTACTTCCCTATCAATTTTAATCATGTTTATTTATTTATTTATTTTGAGCAAGAGTGAGAAAATAATCAACTAATTTCTATTTATTTTTTTATCTGTTAAATGTAATTAATCTGCGACCTTATTTACCCCCCCCCCCCCCAAAAAAAAAGACATAAAAATTTTGCACATTCACTAATCATGATTTTTTTTAGGAGGAGAAAAACTATGGTGTTAAATTTTTTTTATCTTCTCTAATAATTTTTTTTAGGAAAAATTAAAATTACACTCCCTGAACTTTACTTAAAATACGGATTGCTCTCTATAATTTTAAAAATTATAAATATTTCCCTTCAAAATTAACAAAATTAATAGAAAAAAATGAAATTCATAACTATTTTACTATACAACAATAAAATCATGAGAATTTTTAATTGAATATATTTCTGGTATCATTAAAAAATATTAATAAATAAAATAATCATTTATTATGCTATTAGAAAATTAAAGAGACGTGATGTAATTTTTAAAATTATAAAGAACAATTTATAATTTAAACAAACTCAAGAGTGTTTTTGTATTTTATCTTTTTGTAAATATATATTTTTTTTAAAGAGAGAGAACATTGCCAATAATGTCATTTTCATTAATATTTGGAGTACCATATGCTTCTCTGGCATTAGTGGTTGAAGTTCAGATAGACCCTTCTTCTTATTTATTTTTGTAAGCCATACAAAACAAAACTTAAACGAGTCCGTCGGGTTTCTGGTTTAGCCCACAAACGCATCAAAGCCTAACATTTAAAAATATAATTAATTACACTCACCTTTCTTCATATTTTAAAAAATATAATTAATTATATGTTTTTAATATAATTACACTGACATTCTTTAAGATTTTTAATTTACATAATAATTATAAATACTATTTTTATCAATAATTTACTTAGTCATATAATAAAAAAATAATATTATCATCTCTTATCTACTAATATATATATATATATTTGTTTACTTTATTCACTATCTACATTAGTTTTTGTCAATGTTTGGTTTGGAGTTTGCTTATTTTTTGATTTTTTTTTTTGTACTTATTTTCATCTTTAGTGAATTTATTTTAAAATTTTGAAAAAATTTTAAACTTCTAGATTCAGCTCAATAAGATGAACTGAAAAATTATAAATTTTAAAAAAAAATTCAAAAAAAGTCTAGAAAAGACAAAAATAAACCAAAAATAGTTGATTATACTTTTTAGATTCATCTTAACAAGACGGATCGGAAAAATAAAAAATATTTGACATAATTTTGAAAAAATGTCATTGAAGACAAAAACAAAACAAAATAAAACAAAACAAAAGATGTGACTTTTTTGGATGTTGCCAAAAGGTCACTTGTTCGTACGGGAAATGTGTTAGTTTTTAGCCTTTTGGCTTGGGATGGATTTTAGCTTTTTTAACTTTATGAGAAAAAAAATATAATGATTATAATTTAAATGTGATAACTTTTAGTCTAAGGATGAAAAACTTATTTTATTTTTTTGTAGTTAAAATAGCCCCAACCTCACTCAAACCCACATGCCAAAATGAGCATTGCCTTACTAAAAAGAAATCTACAATAATTTTGAAAATGTGAAACTATCTGTTTTTTTACCCATTTAATTTTTATTTTATTGTTAAAATGAATTAGTTAAATATACTCATTACATTAGGGTTGTATCATGTGAAATTTTTGATAATTTTTCAAGGTCTCTAACATGATTTATTTACAGAAGGTTTGAAATTATTTAAATAAATGTATTTTTTAATTTTTTATTAAAAATATTAAAAAAATGAAAAGGTAATATAACTTTAAAAAATAAATAGATAAAAAAATTATACTAACATTAGAGATGCCGAACAATCCCTTAATAATAATTGCTAATCAACCCTGTACCGACCTCCACCCACACCATTGCCCGGTGGAATGGAATAATGACTTGGATCTCCTTTTTTACTCACCTCCTTGACCCCCTCTTTCCATGATTGGTTCTTTTTCTTTGTTTTTTTCTTTTTTTCCCTTCTTCTCAAATCGCCACCCACCACGTGTGCGTGGGGTGGTGATTGGAGGGATCTCAATCATCACCCCGGTAGAATGACAGCCTGCCCCGTCATTTTATTTTGCTGTCACATCATCCCTGTCAAAATTGAAAAATATTATGCATCCCAAAGATTCTATCAAATCTTTGCATAAAATAAATTTCATGCAAATTTACATATTTATAGATACATATTTATATGAAAAATTTGGTAAAATATTTGTTAAAATATTTAAGTCCCCAAACGTCACTCGGGGCACTCAAAAAAGAGTATACACATGTTGGCATTTGGTTGGGACTCGAGAGAGAACTCTCTCTCTCTCTCTCTCCCCTCGATACCCAGAGATTTGGGCGAGGTTCGACAGATGGGTCGTGGACCTGTAAACAGTTGTGTTTCGCTTCACCGTTCGGTTCTACGATCACAGGCCCAGATTCATGACTTGTGTTTCTTTATTCATGGTTGGTTCTGTGGTTTTTCACATCTCAATGCCCTTCTCACTTTTGTATTTTTTATTATTCCAACTAATCAAATGATTTAGCCCCATCTCTTATTCAAAAATAATCAAATCTCAAACATACCCATCTTTATCACTGACCCTTCATAGTTCATAGTTTCTCTCAATTTGCCAATTGGGTAGTAATTATCTTTTCTTTTATGTGTCTTTTTTAGGTGAAGCATTGAACCCAGTTTAAATTTCTGTAAAATTTTGCTCATTTCATTGTTTAAATTGGCAAACCCTTTATTGGTGTTTATATGAGAAATTCCATTGTTTTGGTGGTGTGTGTGTGAACTTGTTGTAAATATTTGATTAGTAGGAGAGGATCCAATGTTTAAAAAGAAAATGCTATAGATCTAGAAATGAATTATTAAATTTTCTACCAAACCTCTCTTGTGTACGTGCGCTCTTATATACGTGCGTGAGTCTCATACAAATCATATATGTGTGGGTTCCACGAAATTTGATAAAAAATTTGATAATTTATTTGCTACTAGCATAAGTCATATTTAAAATTGCTCATTTCATTGTTTAAATTGGCAAACCCAGTTCATATCTCTCTCCCTTCTCTACCCCCTTCATTGAACTTCTCTCTTTACACATCTTTGTCTCCTTTTCCTTTTTGCTTAAATTGTTACTTGTCAGCTGTTTTTCAGATCTCAATGCATGCTCTGTTTATCTTTCTCATTATTAACTTTAGCTCATCTTGCTCAAAAAAATCAAATCTCAAGCATACCCATCTTAATCACTGACCTTCATAGTTCATAGTTCTCTCAATTTGCCAATGGGGTAGAATGCAATGAACCCAGTTTAAATTTAATTCAAATTTTGTTCATTTCATTGTTTGAATTGGTAAACCCTTTATTTATATGGGAAATTTATTTGTTTTGGTGTGAGCTTGTTAATTTTTGTGATTAATATGAGAGGCCCAATATTTTCTATGAGAAGAATTTGATTTTGAATGCAGAAATCGGGGAACGCAGTTGATAGGCAAACTTCCATTGCAATGGGAGAATACAATGCTGCATCATATGTGGGGATTCCTGAAGTACCTTCTTCTAGGATAGTTAATTCCAGGAAAGTCTCGGTTTTGCCCCTTGTTTTTCTCATCTTCTATGAGGTATCAGGGGGACCATTTGGGGTTGAGGATAGTGTGCAAGCTGCTGGACCCCTTCTAGCCCTTTTAGGGTTCTTGGTATTTCCATTGATATGGAGTGTACCTGAAGCCCTAATAACTGCTGAAATGGGTACCATGTTCCCAGAGGATGGTGGTTATGTGGTTTGGGTTTCATCCGCATTGGGTGACTATTGGGGATTTCAACAAGGTTGGATGAAATGGCTGAGCGGTGTCATTGATAATGCTCTCTACCCGGTCATGTTTCTTGACTACATAAAATCTGCAATCCCAGAATTAGCTGGTGGTTGTCCAAGGGTTTTAGCGACGTTGGGTTTGACTTTTCTCCTCACTTACATGAATTATAGGGGTTTAACCGTTGTGGGTTGGGGGGCTGTTCTGTTGGGGGTTCTTTCGCTCTTTCCATTCGTAGTTATGGGATTTATTTCAATCCCAAAATTAAGGCCTTCAAGATGGTTAGTGGTAGATTTACACACTGTCGATTGGAATTTGTTTCTAAACACACTATTTTGGAATTTGAATTATTGGGATTCAGTAAGTACACTTTCTGGAGAGGTGCATAATCCGAAGAAAACTCTACCAAAGGCTCTTTTTTTTGCTTTGATCCTAGTTGTTTCTGGGTATATTTTTCCCCTACTAATTGGTACCGGTTCTATACCACTCAACCGTGACTTGTGGACTGATGGGTATTTCTCTGATATTGCTAAGATGGTGGGTGGAGTATGGTTGAGATTTTGGATTCAAGGAGCTGCTGCAATGTCAAATATGGGGATGTTTGTGACTGAGATGAGCAGCGATTCTTTTCAACTTCTTGGTATGGCAGAGAGAGGGATGCTTCCCAAGTTTTTCGCCAAGAGATCTCGTTATGGAACTCCTGTTGCAGGGATCTTATGTTCTGCTTCTGGAGTGATTTTGCTTTCATGGCTGAGCTTTCAAGAGATAATCGAAGCAGAAAACTATTTGTATTGTTTTGGAATGGTTTTGGAGTTCATATCATTTATAAGGTTAAGAATGAAATACCCAGCTGCATCTCGGCCTTACAAGATACCTTTGGGAACAATTGGATCAATTCTGATGTGTGTTCCTCCGACCATATTAATTTGTGTAGTGTTGGCTCTTTCTTCACTCAAAGTGATGGTTGTAAGCCTCATTGCCGTTGTTATTGGGCTTGTTATGCAGCCTTGTCTCAAGCATGTTGAAAAAAAGGGATGGATTAAGTTCTCCAAAAATTCCGATCTCCCAGATCTTCACGGTGCTGCTCATGGGAATACTGAATCCTTAATTGATTAGTAATACCGGTTCTCTTTGTATATGAAAGCATCATACTAAACAGTGTGAGCTGTCAACACAAGAATCAATGTCTCAATGAACGACAAGAATTGTATGGTGTCTCTTGTATCTCATCAAGCTATTTGCCTTGTTTAGATGTCTATTGGTATGTGGTAAATGGCTGTTTACCATCTCTGTCTTACCCTGATTGGCATCAGAGCTCGAGTCTGTGGAGAACCGAAGAAAATAAGCATGTTCTTATTGACTGATTCAAATGTTAGTTCTTCAAGCATTTTCTGAAGCCAATACTGTTTGTGCATTAAGGGTATGTTTGGTTTGGTTTTGAGAGAGTAGTTTTTAAAAATTGTTTTGGGGAGGGTGTTTAGAATTTTTTTTTTGGTTTGTTTGGTTGTGATTTTTGAAAATAGTTTTGGAGTTTGGGAATTTGGAATGATTTGATATTTTGTTGTAATTGAGTAGATGTGTGTGAGAGAAAAAATGATTGGCAATGAAAGAGGAGGGAGAAAAAAGAAAAAAGAAAAAAGTGATTATTGATGTGTAAGAGAGAGAGAGAGTGATTTTGGAAATTGTTTTGGAAAAATTACAAATCAAACAAATTTTTTAGAAAATTTTTCCCAAAATCACTCTATAAAGCCAAACCAAACATACCCTAAGATTCTTAATCATTGCTTGGGTACTCAAAATCTGGTTGTTTGTTAAAGAAAGAAGCATAATTTCAAGAAGTGGCTTCTCTTTCTCTGAGAAAAACTCATCCCCTTTCTTTTGCTCTCTGAATCCCCATGTCTATCTTTTTTTAATGTATGACTGTTACTCTTTGTTGGCAATGTCTTAATTTTGGTAACTTTTAAATTAGGGTTTCGCAAATGCCTATAAATATTAAATAGTCCCTTATGTATTGGTTATTTAGCTTTGAATATTGAGTATTGAGATTCAGGTTTATTTTTCTTTTCTTTGGCTGTGGTTTTGTTCTTTTCCTTCACATTATTTTTATTTTCCTGCCATCCTACTTCAGATTTTCATCAAGGATAAGAATCAATACGTTGCACTCCTTGCGTTTTCTGTCATTCAAAAAAAAAAATTTGTTGAAAATTTATGTTTGCATATTCTTTGAATCGACGTGACGTTGAATTTTTATGTTTACTAGCCGGAAAACATTGAAACTTAGCACTCGTTTGGCATAAGGTTACAGGACTAAAATAGTCACAAAAATACAACATAGGCTAAAAAGCAAATAAAATAAAATGTCGCATTCAAATCATAATCATTTCATTTTTTTTCTCACAAAAAACAAAAAAGTCAAAGTTCATCACAAACGAGATTTTTTAACCCCAAGTTAAAAAAATTAAAAAGTCAACCCACATTCCATACAAACCCTAAACAAAAAGGATTTACAGCTTGGTAATTAGTTATTAGAAATTGATTTGATTGTGTCAACCACTTTGTGAATCTCCGTTTTCATCTTCTCTTTTTGTTTTCATTTTCAAAAACCTTGAAGTTTTTTGATAATTTGGATGGAGTTTCTATGCTGGTAGAACAGAATGTTTGACATGAGAAGTTTAAGCAAGTAATTTTACTCGTCCATATGATATATAAAGAAAAGGATTATTATTCCTACATCTTTCTAGCCATCTCTTCAAATGCATTCGTAATCACTAAATCATGTGAGAATGTTGAGTCACATAAATTTCAAAATATGATCTAATAGTTAAGAGTACATTGAAATAAGGAGACAAGAAAATTTGAAGATAGAAGATTCCTCGTATTCAAACAGAGCTGAAAATCAAGGCACTAAATAATAACTACTTCTCAAGTATTATGGACGAGACTTTGAGACAAGGAGACATGAAAATTTTGAAGATAAGATTTTCGGTATTCAAACAAAGCTGGAAATCAATGCACTGAATGATAACTATTCATCAAATACCATGGACCAGACTTGGATTGATTATTTTGGAAATTTACCTGGCTAAGAATTTGGGGGGAGTCCGACTTAAGCCCTGAAAAAACTAAGAATGCGTCGAACCAGTCAGTTTTACAGGCTTAAAGAATATTTGTAGCTTACTATAAATAAAACCAGTAAATGAAAGCTATATCACGGAGATGAAAATAATATCACAAACAACTATTAGATATCTAGAACAAGTTTAGTTTTCTTAAAATATTTGGCTTGGAATCAGTTTCAGTAATATCCATCCACAACAAGTGGAGCCAACCTACTTTTATAATTAGGACTATAAATGAATCGAGCCAAGCCGAACTTGCCAAACTTGAGCTCAACTTGCTCGTTTATCAAACTCGAAAATTCAGCACAAGTTCCACTCAATAACTAATCCAGCTTGAGTTGAACTCGGCTCATTGATATTAATCAAGCTAGATAATGATTTTTTTTTTTTTTGCTAATATTTACATTATTGAAATTTCTAAATAATTATTTATCCTATTATTTGAACATATTTTTTGTTATTGAATATATATAAATAATATTTTTATTTTATTGTTTAAATAAAAATAAATTCGAGTTTAACTTGTTTATTTATCAAACTCAAAAATTCAGCACAAGTTGCACTCAATAACTAATCTACCTTAGACTCGTTAATATTAATCAGGTTAGATAATGATTTTTTTTTTTTTGTTACTATTATTTACATTATTTAAATTCCTAAATAATTATTTATCCTATTATTTGAACATACTTTTTATTATTTAAATAAAAATAAATTGACTGAACTTATTTGAGCTCGAGATTGACTAATTTATCTATGAATTACTAGCTTACCTGTTCAGAATAACTAAATAAGCAACTTTTTTTTTCCCCCCTTCTTTTTTGTTAAGAACAGAAAAAAGATATGGTAATAGAGAAGTCAAATTCAGAAATTCCATAAATAAAAAAATAAAAAATGTTTCTCTAGCAAATTTGTAAAAAGACAATTTTACCCTCAATAATTTCAGAAATTCCACCATTTCCTTCCAAGGGCTCCACAATACTATATGAGTCGTATGGTAATTTTCCACCAAAAAGAATGTTTGAAAAACTCCAAAAAATAAATAAATAAATAAAATTAAAAGCAATTTGTCAAACCCCCATACAGAGCGCCAGAGCAAGAATTATACATACAGTTGGTAACTTGAAAAAACCAGTAAGGTGCAAACTTCTACTAATAAAAACATAATATAGAGTAACATTACTAACTTCAAAGAACAATAAGAGCACATTTGGGTATTCAAGAGAAATTCCTAACTACTGATACAACTTTGATTTGTCCTTCAACAATCAAAGTATCATTCAACAGGAAGCCCCTTGATGGGTCAAGAAGAGCAGTCATTAACAAGAACTTTTTGTAGGTCCAAGACTTGACCGTCGCAGCAAACCAAGAATTATCTGCAAAAGAAAAGTTTCTATTTCTACATGAACCAAGTTATCTTTGAAGGAAAAAAAAAAAAAAATAAGTTACTTGGAATTTCAACAATGGTGTGAGCGAGAAATGAAATTGTTTGGGGCACAACTTGTGTGTGTGTGTGTGTGTGTGTGTTTATCATCATGACTGAGGCCTTTCTGCAAGAAGAATAATAAATCTAAAGAAAAGCGCAAGTTACCCGTCAGTTCCTCATGTTGACCATGGATTTGATCCCTTATGCAGAGCCTATATTCAACATATAATTTCCTTCCAGGAGGAAGAGGTATGTGATCAACCAAATGTATATTCAGAGCTAGATATTCGCCCCTATGGTTTGAAACTCCTCTTGGATTAATCGATAACTTCCTGAATTCAACACAAAGAAAGCCAGTCACAGCTAATTCCAACTAATAAGAGAGAGAGAGAGAGAGAGAGAGAGAGAGAGAGATACCATATATGCTCTCCACTCGTGAATGCTTCCGACAAGTATTTTTCATCAAATAAAGTTGAAAAATTCTCAATCTTCCACGTGAAAATATTGTCATCAGGTAGCGTTACCATGGATACACACTCTCCTTTGCCGGTACACTTAACAACAAAAACCTCAGCTCCAAATATGCATGAATCATCGATTAGGTATCCATTCGATGCATTGTTGAAGGTATTAAGGGAAAGCAATTGAGCAAAACCACACTCCGTCTTCATCCCATGAAAGCGATTTACTCTGCCCTTGTCAGCTGATGTAAAAAAAGAGAAACACCAAATACATGAACATGGGCGGCACCACGTGTAATATGGTGGGATCAATTGACCCCACTTAACGCCAAAAATGGGACATATGTGATAATTAAAATAAATATGGACATGTGTGCATATTGGCCCATCGGTTTGAGAGGAAAAATCTAAAGATTTAGTCTTAAGAGGCTAAAAAGACAAAGACAACTATACAATTGTTTGAAAATTGAATTTTGCCATTTTATTGAAATAGATTTCAACTTGGATACTTGGGATTTTGTCTCTTAGCTTCTTCTTTTTTCAATTAAATGTCAAAAAAAAGCCCTAACTTTTAATTGATTAACTTGTATTTAATTATTTCAAACATAATGTTGTTTTATTCATGTTGGATTAATTTGTTTGCCTTATAGTTGAGATTTTCTCTTCATTTTTTTTCATGTTATTTATTATTCGGTTTTTTTATTATTTTTAACAAGATTCTTTTGTTTACATAGGTTAAGCATGATTGAAATGTTAATTATTTTACCAGATATAATGTTCGAGTTTAGATTAGTTTGTATATTAGTCAGGCTCATCAAATATCTTAATCATACAGAATTTCAACTTAAAATTATAAAATATAATTTTGTACGGACTAGTTATTGGATTAGTTATCCCATTATATATATTAAAAATATATAGTTCGAGATTCATCTCCTATCTCAAATAGGAGATGATACAAATTGATATCAATGTGTTAAAGCTTGTTTCTTAGCTTAAGGTTTCTATACTAACCCTATTGAAGAAAATTCCAGGAGTCGCCAGTATACATTCACCAAAATTGGTAGAAATTAAGAAACTTTAATAAACAAAAATGTGATAGTGCATGGGAAGATACCTTGAAACGTCAAATACTTGTCTTGAATTTGATCATACACAAACAATTTGAATATCACATTAACTTCCCAACCAAGAGGTAGAGTATTGGTTTCTGCAATTACCAAGTAGAGCGATATGTATCCATCTGCATTTCTTTCTTTCCTCCCATAAGGATAGAGTGACAGTCTCCTACATCACAAGCCTGGCAATAAGCTATTTTATATCCCAAGTGGAAATGCAAATTGAGATATGCTTGAAAGAGTGGAAAAATTCAAACTCACCATAGATAGCCACCAGCTTCAAAACTATCAGATTCATGTTTCTCCTCTCCAATCCTTGTTAGCATCGTCGATAATAGTGAAAATGAATTGATCTTGAATGTGTAGTGAGCAGGTGGCATCTCTCTTATAGACCTTACAACTTTGCAAATGTTTGAAGCATAAAAATAAGAGTAATTGGAGAAATTCTAGTTATTTGTTGGAAACCATTCACAAAAGCATGCATTGACAATTACGTACAATGTAAACTAATTGGCTAAAACTCTCAATAATAATAATTCCAAAACTAAATATTAAAATGTCAAAAGCCTAATATTTATAAGCCACAAAACCCTACTTTAATTAAAAGAACTATCCTAATATAATTTGGCAAGCAAAATCAAATCTCACACTCAATAAATCCCACAAAATAATAATATTAATATATCAATTATATAAGGAACCAAAAAGTCTTCGAATCCACGGCCTTCACTTTGGGTGTCCAAACCCGACAATGCGCTTGCAACCAATCTAGAGCATAGCAGCCAGATGAGATCCTTTCTTCAAAAAAATTTCTCCCTTTTTTTCTTTTCTTTTCATTCAAAAATGCATTGCGACAACTGACAAGCCATTGTCTGAACATGACAATTTTTAAAACAAAATTGGTTTCTTTACAAGCAAAACTCCTTGCCGATTGCCCACTACGTAGGCATAAAAACAGAGATAATTGTTAAGAAAGGATAGAGAGAGAACAACTCTAGTCTCTAAGCAAAAAGGATAGAAAGAACATCAAATATTTAAGATAAATTTAACTCTAATATTTTCATCTCTCCTTCCCTAAGACTTCGAAACTAGTTAAGAAAGGATAGCATTTTGTTTCCATCATTTTCCTTTCTTGCATTGCTCTCTCTTTCCCCTGTTCTTACTAGGTCAAATAAACCAGAGATGATTGTTTGTGCAAAGAAGTTTTTCTTTTTCTTCTTCTCTTTGCTTTTCCAGAGGGGAAAAAAACAAAAACAAAAAAACTATTAATTTATCCCGCCTATCAAACTATAGGCATACGACATACCATAATCACTCATGCATTTGATTTTACATAAAATGGTACTACGCATGTTAATTTCCTCATCAGTCAAAAATGAGACAAGCAAAACTTCTCGCCAAAATTCTTCCACGCTATGTTACTCTTACTCTTATTGATTAATGGTTTCTAAGATATGCTCACCCCTTTTCTTCCCCATTACGTTGATCTTACTCTCATTGATTAATGATTTCCATTATATACATTTTATTTATCTGATACATCATTTATGACCTATCAGAACACCATTACTTTTCCAAGTAAATTATATAACAAAATTAGCATTCAACTAGAAGTTTATTATCTTCAACAATTCAGTTTGCAACGAAAGGATTTGACGGAATGAATGGATTTCAGTAAAAACACATAATTTGTATTGTTTGGAATGGGAGATAAGTGCCAAAATATATACATTGAGGCCCCCTAAACTACACTAGTTAAGTCCATATCAATTATTATTTAATGATTTAATGTGTTTGTGTGTTGTGCAGGTTATATGGGCCTTTGTGATGAAAAGTATATTTTTATATTCTTTTTAAGCCCATTCCAACCCTAACCAAAAAGTCAAAGATTCTCTTTTCTCTCTACTTTTTGCACATCTTTTCGTAATTAGCCAAAAAGTCATCCCAAACATACAAGTTTTTTTTACCTACCTTTTTAGCCAAATAGCCAAAAAATTACTAAATTAGCCTGTTCCCAAACGAGGCCTTAATGTGTTTGTGTGTTGTGCAGGTTATATGGGCCTTTGTGATGAAAAGTATATTTTTATATTCTTTTTAAGCCCATTCCAACCCTAATAGTTATGGGAGTATAAAGGGATAACCTAGCCTTCATAAAAAGGGGTGTTATTCTTGAGATATCAAAAGGAGGCACAAGAGGCAAGAGAGAGGAAACCCAAGGTTCCAAGGATGGAGTTTTCCACACCTATGGTGTTCTTTACCTTCTCCATGGGCAGCTAATCTTATTCTTGGGATTGAGATGAAACCTTAGTCAAGTAACTTGTAATTTTGTATTTAGATTCAAATTTTTCTTTGGATTTGGATAATCGTTGTATGATTGTTAAAGATCTTTTGTTCAAGAGATATTTTCATCTGATTTATGTATTTAATTTCTATGATTGAGCATGCATGATCATACAGTTGTTTTGCTTGCTTGTATATACAAATCATGAGACGAGTCATACTTAAAGGAGACGAGTCGTGCTGCATCCCTAGTTTGGTGTGGACGATTCATGCTGATCGAAGATGAATCGTGCTTGCAATTTGATTATACTCATCCTCTGGACGATGATATCGGGGCTTGTAGCCACAATACATCAATATTATCTGAATCGTTGATTTATTAGAATTTAATATATTAATTACTTGTTATAAGATTAGAGGTGAATTTGAAAACCCCAAACTATTTTCTACTTCAATTCCACCTCAATTTTTCTTTTTGTTTAATAATTTTTTTAGTTAATTTTATATTAAAATCAAAATATTCATCTGATTCGAATTAATTAAGAATTGATTTTCTCATACTGAAACAACTTAGTCTTTTAGTATCTGTGAATTGATACCCAAACTAAACTACTATTCTATTGAATTAAGGTCTTAGTAAAGATTTATTTTGTGTGCAAAACGATCCACCAAATTTTGGCGCCGTTGCCAGGGACAATTAGCACAATTGCTTAGATTTTGAAAATTAATTTTTAGATTAATTCTCAGTTTAGGATTTTGTGTATATAATAAGTAGCAAAAGCAAATTATTCAAGTGATTGCAAACGAAGGACTTGCAATTGGTTGTGACTGAGAATTCGAGCTTCAAAAAAAAATCATTCGGCGAAGTACTGTAAGTGTGAACTTATTTGCAAGTAATTTGAATTTTCAACACTAAAAAAAATGACTTATTTTGGGTACAATACTTGGGAGGATGAACTTCTAAGTAACAATTCCTTGGGAACCCAGTATGATTATTTGCAACCCATACAACCTAGTCCTTCATTTAATGTTGCTCTTCCAACTAATGTAGGCTATTTTGATGTAAAACCTGAAATGGTTCATTCACTTCCTAAGTTCTATGGTTTATCTTATGAAAATCCATACATTCACATTAAAGAATTTGAGAATGTTTGTAAGTTTTTACACGATCCAAACATAAGTAAGGAAGTGTTTAAATTTCAATTGTTCCCACTTTCTTTAAAGGATAAAGATAAGAGATGGTTCCATAAGACCAAGTCCCATTGAAACATGGCAAGAAATAAAAAATAAATTTTTAAATGAATTTTTCCCAATCCAAAAAACTATTGCTCTTCAACGACAAATTGTAAATTTTTACCACGAAGAAAATGAAACATTTTTTTAAACTTGGGAAAGATTCAAGGCTTTATTAAACTCTTGCCCACATCATGGCTATGAAACTGGACGCATCATTGTTTTCTTTTATGAAGGGTTTTGCTTTCCACTACGTCAATTTGTAGTCAAGATGTGTAATGGTAATTTTTTTGAAAAATATCCAAAAGAGGCTTGGAATTATTTGGATCAATTGGCAGAAAAATTTCAAAATTGGAATCACAGTGAAATTTATGATGATAAAGTAGTGTTTAATGTCATAGAATTTAGGAACTTTGAATCACTCTTGCTTAATGAAAAGGTGGAGGATGAGTTGCGAATACCAACCGGTGAGACTACACATATCGAGGAACCCCGAGGAGATAAGAGTAATTGAAGAATTTAGTGTTAAGATAGGTGACCTTGGGTAGGATTTTATTTTTGGGTTTGATCTTCTTGATTCCCCTCATAGAGTTGTCTTCACACTTTATTATTCATGCACATAATTTCCCCATATGCTGATTGTGCCCATATTTTAAGTCAGAATGTTCACTTGATCGTACCAAGCAAGCACAAATTTTTGGATGGGTCAAGTATTTTTTGTTGGAATAATCCATATCTCATTAATCATAAGAAGAGAAAAAGTGAGAATGAGAATTGTTGTATCACTTGTATTTTATTTTATTTTTACATTTATGACTTTATTTTTTCTTAGTTTAAGATATTTTTTTTATTTTTTTTTTTTTACTTCATCTTTCTTGGATGTTGGGTACTAACTTTTTTTTGCAGGTGCACACTATTCCTCAAGTTGGGGGGAGTCTCTTTCACCAGCATCTCAATGCATCTGCTTATGTATCAAGGTGATATATTTCCTTCCCTTTATGTACTTGACTCAATTGTATATTTTGGTGTGTTCCATTGGGAACACTATATTTAAGTTGGAGGGAATGATTTTGTGTTCAGATTGAAAAAAATAAATAAATAAATAAATTTTAATATAAAAAATTCAAAAAAATTTCACCTTGAGATCGAGACATCATACTTTTGACTTTTGAATTCGAATGATTATCCAATCTAGATAGGTGATGTGGAATATTGAATGATTGAGATTATAGTTTGAATTCATTGATTGAGTTAAACTTTTAAATTGTGTTATGAGATAGGTGATGCTATACTAGTCCTTTCCACTTGAACTTAATTAGAGAGTTTATCATTCATTTACCTTGAAATCACTTGAGCACATTAGCACAATAAGTGGATCCTGAAACTTGATACTAGTATGCATGTTGATATTTTGTGATGGCTTGGATGATCCATAAAATAAGTGACCTTGGCTTGACTTTCCCAAAAAAAAAAAAAAAAAAATTGTTTGAATCTGTAGCCTTCTCAATTCAAGTTATTAAGCCCATCGGGGCGTCCCTACACTTAGTACCCTAAAGCTAACTAGCATAGGAGTCATTAGCCTAACACTCGTTACAAGGATTGAGTAGAAAGCCTAAGAGATCTGAGCAATAAAAAAAAATTTGATGACCGGTTTGGGTTCGTATCCTTTTTAACTCGAGTTATTAAGTCCGTTGGGGTGTCTTCACACCTAGCGCCCTAAAACCGTCTAATTTGGGAGTTATTGACCCAACACTTGCTAATTAGAAAGCTTAAGGCACCTAGGCATTGCACAACCACGAAAAAAAAAAAAAATGTGCATCAAAGTCAAGCCATTGGTTGCATTGTTCTACAAAATGTCTAATGAATTGTGACGTATTGGTGATAAGTGTATTCAGGATTCATTTGGGGGTCGTATTTCTGTGTGAATATTCACTTTACACCAAGGGATCATGTGATGGTTTTCTACTAAGTGCAAATATATGGGACTTGAGTAGTATTGCTTAGAATTAAAATGTTTCGTTATTTAACTCAATTCATGAATGATAACTGTGGCCCTTAATTACGTGATATTCTGTATTAACTATTTGATAAGGTATTAATTTGAATTCAAAGTTGAAGTTGAGCATTCTATCTCTTGTTATAGTGATTAACATGTTCAATGTTTGTGAGTAGCATCTCTGAAACCCTCACGAAACTTCATTCATCCACTTAGGTAACCTCGGGGTTTAAAAGGCTTGTTGCATATGCTAAATGCAATCATGATCCTAACGAAAGTGGCTTGGATAGATGTTAATGTATTTTTCTTTTGGTTTGCTCGAGGACTAGCGAAGTGTAAATTGGGGGGTGTGATAAGTGCCAAATATATACATTGAGGCCACCTAAACTACACTAGTTAAGTCCATATCAATTATTATTTAATGATTTTAATGAGTTTGTGTGTTGTGCAAGTTCTATGGGCCTTTGTGATGAAAAGTATATTTTTATACTCTTTTTAAGCCCATTTCAATCCTAATAGTTATGGGAGTATAAAGGGATAACCTAGCCTTCATAACAAGTGATCTTATTCTTCACATATCAAAATGAGGCACAATAGGCAAGAGAGAGGAAACCCAATGTTCCAAAGATGGAGTTTTCCACACCTATAGCGTTCTTCACCTTCTCCAAGGGCGACTAATCTTCTTCTTGGGGATTGAAATGAAACCCTAGTCAAGTAACTTGTAATTTTGTATTTAGATTCTAATTTTGCTTTAGATTTAGATAATCATTGTATGATTGTTAAAGATCTTTTGTTTAAAAAAAGTTTTCATCCAATTTATGTATTTAGGGGTTGTTTGGGATGAGCTAAATAAGTGTAATTTTTGTCTTTTTACGAAAAGATGTGCAGAAAAGTAGAGAGGTGATGTGATGGAAAAAAGATAAAAAGATGGATTATTTTAAGGATGCCAGACTTGGCCTTACTTTCTGTGATTGAGAATGCATGATCATACAATTGTTTTGCTTGCTTGTATATACAAATCACGAGACGAGTCATGCTTAGGGGAGACGAGTCGTGCTGCAACCCTAGTTTAGTGTGGACGATTCGTGCCTGCGATTTGATTATACTCATCTGCTTGACGATGATATTGGAGCTTGTAGCCACGATACATCAATATTATCTGAATCATTGATTTATTATAATTTAATATATTAATTACTTGTTATGAGATTAGAGGCAAATTCGAAACCCCAAACTATTTTCTACTTCAATTCCACCTCAATCTTTCAATCTTTCTTTTTGTTTAATAATTCTTTTAGTTACTTTTATATTAAAATCAAAATATTCATCTGATTCGAATTAATTAAGAATTAATATTCTAATATTTGAACAACTTAGTCTTTTAATCCCTATGAATTGATACCCGAACTAAACCACTATTCTATCGAATTAAGGTCTTGGTAAGGATTTATTTTTGGTGTACAAAATGGCCCACCAATGGGAGAGGAGTAAGTATGCCACGATGGATTTGAATTTGATTAAAAGTAACTGCTATTATGAAATCCCTTCCAAAATGGCTAAATTTGGACTTAATTCAACTCAATTTTAAGAAGCACTTGTACTTTATCAATTTGTCACTACTTTATATGAATGTATTACTTTTAAGGAAAAAAAACTATCAATAAACTGTCCTGTTCTACTCAAAACTCCATCTAATGCAAACAAGAAAACATGATATAAGGTCAAATCTTTCCTTTCCATTCCCTTTTTCCGTATTCCTTTTTATAGAGAGGATCTAGTTTCAGAATTGTAAAGAAACATAAAAAAAAAAAGTGCCCTAAATACATTTGTTAAGAAGCTTAAAATGATTGTTTCATAAGAATGTATAATAATTTAAGCTTTGTAAATCAATGCCGTTACGGCACTCATCAACAATACCCTTTAATTATCTTTTTATGAGATAACAAAAACTAAGATTCTAGTTATCAATCTTAAGGTAACAAACCACTTTTCCAAGCTACTCCACTGAAAGAAGTTAACTTCAGTATTAAACTGCTATGCAAAATCAGAATGGAGGCATCCATAATAAGAGGGACATACAATTGCATCTTCAATCCTTACTCCTTTTTTCATCAAATTTGAGTAAAAATTTGGTTACTAGCTTGACTGGATATGGAACACTTTAATCCTTACCCTCTTTTTTTTTCATCAAATATTTTTAAAAATTTCTAAATCCTAAAACCTATTTTAACCATTTTTTTATGACAGAAAACCATCCCCAATCCTTAATCTTTTTAAAATTTCATCAAATTTGAGTAAAAATATGAATGTTGGGAATTTGGTGAAGGATTTGGTTCATCATTGACTTGGTGAAAACATGGCCTTTCTCTTGATTTAACACAGATTTGATGAAAAGGTTGGAGCACACTTTTAACAATTTTTTCATCAAATCAATTAACTAAAAATTGAATTATCACATTGAGAATAGTTGAATTCCAGTTGAAATCAATAAAACAAACTCAAATTTACAGTGTTTTGCACAATTCAGCAAAAAGATAGTTGTTTCATAACAATGACATACATTTTCTTTCTCTTTCTTCTCCACTAAAAAACCCTAACATGCAAAACAAAGTAGAAACATTATTCTAAAGTACCCAAAAGATAAAGCTTTAGAATCACAGTGAAAAATTCAATTCAATTCAGACTTCTATATCTGTAATAATCAGCATATACAATCAACCCATGATCAAAGCATCTTTCCCCTGTACATGCATAGCACATATTATATATATATATATAGAGAGAGAGAGAGAGTACCCAGTGTCTCTTCATCCCTGGGTACTGGGTGGCATGTCTTGTCATCCATGAGTACGATCCTCTCGTCCATGACTGAGAGTGCTTGGTGGGTTTTTCTTTGATCAGGCAAAGGGGTAAGAAAGACCCACTTCTTGCTCTCTCTGTCTACCCTTTTTTTTTATCTCAATTTGCTTTCTTTCTCGTCACACTGATTCTCTCTCTACTTTCTCTTCCATCTTTTATTTCTTCCTGGTTCAGAGATAGAGACGTTCGGAGTATATCTTTTATTTCTTTCTGATTAAGAGATAGAGACGCTCGGAGTTCGACTGAATTAGGGAGCTTGACTTATGTTTGGGTTTATGTGTTTGTGCTTTTGGGAATAGTTATTAGTTTATGGAAAATGTCTCGTACCTCAAATTTTGTGACTTAAAAATGATTTAAATGGTCAAAATGACATCGTATTGGTTATTTTTATGTTATTCTGTACTCAAAACGACGTCGTTTTGGCCATTTTTATGTTGTTCTGTACTCAAAACGACGTCGTTTTGACCATTTAAGTTACTTTTGAACCACAAAATTTGAGTTACGTAACATTGCCGTTAGTTTATTTATACAAACTTATAGATAAATTTTTTAAATTATTAAAAAATATTATTTTATTCTTAAAATATTACAGTATATAAATAGACATTTTAAATAATAAAATTATTCAAATTAGACCTTCTAATAAAATGAGTCAAAATAAAATAATTTAAGAATCTATCTATACGTTTTTATAAAATTTATTAATCATTGTCAAATAATTTCTAAAATTTAAACAAACATATCCATGAGTTTCAATTTAAGCAAATAGAGTTTAAAAAATAATCAACGTAATCAAAATATTAATATAATTTATAAAAGACAAGTTGCGTAAAATAAATTATGATAATTCAAAACATACGTAAAATATATTATGGTGACTCAAGGTATAATATAACTCATATTAATAGTGATTCCCCAATCTTACTTTCCACTGTCAAAGACCGTCTTACCTAATAGTTGCCTTCATCCAGTATATTTTCTCTTTGTTTTGTTTTGTTTTTTTTTTTTTTTTTTTTTTTTCCTCTTTTCTCTCTGAAGTAGAGGTAAAAATGAAGAAGATGAAGATGAAGATGAAGAAGGGAGGAGAGAGAAAGAGAGAGAGCACCAACCAACTCAGATCATCATCAACAACCGAGAGAGAGCATCAACATCAAATAACAACACATCATCAGCATCATCACACATCGTCTTTTCTTCCTCTATTTTTTCTTTTCTTTTCTTCTTCCATAACTCAGACACACAAACAGATCATCAATACACACACACAGATCAGGGAACAGAGAGGCACACATATACATCATCAACAGATATACAGATCTGTGTATGTACACACAAATCGATCTGTGTATACACACAGAGGATGACAGCGCGGATGACGGATGGAGTCTATCTCTCTGTTCCCTCTTCCTCTCTCTTTTCTCTCTTTCTCTTTCTATCTCTCTTCTTCTATCTTCTCTCTCTTCCTCCCTCTATTTCAGAAATATAAGAGAAGGAAAAATGAAAGAGACTGGCAGTCAAGCCATTCGGGGCAAAGAAGTTTTGAGCTAATCATCAAATTTGTTATCTCAAAAAGAGTCAAAAAAGTCAAAAAACTCTTCCAAAACGAGACTTTTTAGCCCTAGGCTAAAAAAGTCAAAAAAATAACCCACTTCCCAAACGACTTCTTAAAATAGTTGTATTTAGAAAGTTGATTTTTTTTTTAGTTGATTTGATAATTATAAAAAAATAAAATAAAATAAAATGATTATGAATTAGATGTGACATTTTATCTTATTAATTATTTTAATCTATTTTATGTTTTAGTGAACTATTTTAGTCTAATCCTCTTTCCAAACACCCCTATTATATATTTTATTGTTATATATATTTTATACAAAATGTATAAGACTTTTTTAACTTTCAGGATAACAAAATAATTCACTTTACTTAGTTCCATTTTTTCAAAAATACTTTTCAAAAAATTCTACTTTCCTATTTTTTGTATTTTTTTTGTTTTTATTGAAATTTTTTTAATATTTTAAGTAATTTTTTTACTTTTTAGACATACCTAACATAAATATACTTAAAAAGTAAAAAATTTGTGAAAAAAAAAACTTTTAAAAATATACTAAATACCAAAAATATAAATAAAAAAAATGAGAATTCAATACATTTTTTATATTTTTATGTATTTATTAATTTTTTAAAATATTTTTTCACAAATTTTTTACTTTTTAGATACATCTAAGTGAGGTGCATCTAAAAAAGTGAAGAAAAAAAATGTTTAAAATTTTAAAAATATTCACTAAAAATAAAAAAAAAAAACGAAAATTAAAAAAACTCAGCTTTCAAAAAATTTAATTCAAAAAATTCAAACCAAACACACTGATTACTATTTATTTCTAGGATAACTCATAAGTCTTTTTTGAAAAGTATGTATTCTATTTAATCTCAAAATCTTTTAAATAGACCCAAAAGTCCTATGCCCATTATATTCTCGTATTTCTCTATATTTTACTTCTTCTCTTTATCTCTCTTTCTCTAATATCGACAACCACCACCACCACAAGCACGACTTTTTTTCTTTCCTTTCTCTTTTTAATCTACAGTCACTGATGACTAGCGATTATTATTGATTGGGGTTCACGGACAACCACCGAGCACTAACTCTTTACATCGCACTCACCGACGGCGAAAGGGATGAGTTTTCGACGAAAAAGATGAGTAGATCTACTCAAATCTGATGTTAGATCCGGTTAAATCTAAACCAAAAAATAGTTACCGGAGTACAAGCATATCTCTATATCTGTCTCTTTCCTTCGATCTCTCAGTTTCAATACTTTTTATGCACTACACACTTCTGTTTTCCTATTATAATAGAGAAAATTTTAAGTTCTGAACAAGTTATTTTCGAGTTTTAATTATAGACGGTGAAAACTGTAAATTTTACAGTTTCAATTTTATGGGTGCTGAAATAAATTATTTTTTAGAACTGTAAAATTTTACAGTATCATAACTTTCTTTAGAACTATAAAATTTTACAATTTCATAACATGTTTTTCAATTTGAATAATAAGGATAAATACGTAATAGAATCATACTTTGAAACTGTAACATTTTACAGTTTTAAAACTTGTTTTCCAGTTTGATCAATATTTGAAATTATTTGCTTAAACTCTACAAAAATTGAAAATGGCATTTTTTTTCCCCCATTGTTGTTATTTGTTGCTTTTAGTTTTTTTTTTCTTCTTTTAGTTTATCAATATTTTCAGCATATTTTGCTATGTTTTTTCACTTTAATTTCTGAGGGTATTATTCTTCTTTTTTGGGGCAATATTCTAAATATTCTAGTAAGTCTCCGGTGATATTTTTGACGTCTAATGAATATTCTGAATATTCCGACGACTTTCGACAATGTTTAGAACATTCCGACAATACTCTGGCGAATTTTTGGTGATATTCAAGCAATTTTTCGGTAATATTGAATATTTCGACGAGTTTTCGATAACTATATGATAAATGTCCGACAATGGTAAGATGTAACAATGTTTTTAAAAAAAATTTAAAAAAATAATTTTTTTTAATAACAATTAAAAATATATATAAAATTAATTAGTAAAAATATTTTATTTTAAAATTAGATAAATTTTAAATTTTGTATACGAAGACATATCAGTAAGTTCCCTGATTTCTGTTATGTATTTGAGGCCCAATTAACCCAACCCATCATGTATGTAGTCCCAAAAAAAAATTGGGGGACTTACCAACCGGTCCCATTGAAACAAATTAATACCCACTAAGTCCTGTCCTATTTCAGTTTCCAATTTTACCCCTCAATGTCACACCACATGTGTGAAGCAAAGAAGATATCATGAGCTCTCCCCTGTGCGCGTGACACACATGCTCCTTCTCAATTGTTCTGATTTGGAAACTATTTTGAGGTGATTTGGAAACCATTCTGAGACGATTTACGATTTGGAAATCAAAACAAACGAAGAGATTTTCCTTGAATCTCCCATCGTTTCCAAAGAAATCACCTCTATTTCGATCTATATTCTAATTCTGAACAGATTCCCAGCAAATATTCCACCGTTTCGATCTATATTCCCTGTTTAGTTCGTCTTCAACAAACATGTGAATCAAACGTGAGTCGTATTCATCTTATGTTCTTCTTTTATAATTATAATTAAGTGATATTCAACTTCATAATAATCACATCTTCATGTTTATTTGCTATACAATAACAGATTTGCTTATTTTGCCCAATTCAGTGAGAAAATTTGCTATAAGAATGATAGATTTGCTTAATTTTTTTAATTGAGTAATAAAATTTGTTATAATGATGGATTTGATTCCCTTCTTCTTTTATAACTATAATTGAGTTATAAAATTTGACTTGAAGCTATTTTCAATGTATATCATACAGTATTAATTTATGATTGATATTCAACTTTATAATAATCACATCTTTATGTTCATTTGCTATATAATGATGGATTTACTTACTTTTGCTAATTCAGTGATAAAATTTGATATACAATAACAGATTTGCTTACTTTGCCCACTTCAGTGAGAAAATTTGCTATAAGAATGATAGGTTTGCTTAATTTTCCTAATTGAGTGATAAAATTTGTTATAATTATGGATTTGCTTCTCTTCTTATTTCATAACTATGTATTTGCTTCCCTTCTTCTTTCATAACTATAATTGAGTAATAAAATTTGACTTGAAACTATTTTCAATGTGTATTATACAGTATTAATTTATGAGTGATATTCAACTTCATAATAATCACATCTTCATGTTCATTTGCTAATTCAGTGATAAAATTTGATATACAATGACAGATTTGCTTACTTTGCCCAATTCAGTGATAAAATTTGCTATAAGAATAATAGATTTGCTTAATTTTCCTAATTGAGTGATAAAATTTGTTATAATGATAGATTTGCCTCGCTTCTTCTCTCATAACTATAATTGAGTGATACAATTCGACTTGAAGCTATTTTCAATTTGCACCATACAGTATTAATTTATGAGCGCTATTCAACTTCATAATAATCACATCTTCATGTTCGTTTCCTATACAATGATAGATTTGCTTACTTTTGCTAATCCAGTGATAAATTTTGCTATACAATGCCAGATTTGCTTACTTTGCCCAAATCAGTGAGAAAATTTTCTATAAGAATGATAGATTTGCTTAATTTTCCT